CTCCTGACCCCATGATCCGCCTGCCTGGGCCTCCCAAAGTGCTGGGATTACAGGCGTGAGCCACCGTGCCCGGCCTCCACTGGGACATCTAATAAACATCTCCAACTGATGTTCCAAAAACAAACATGATTTTCTCCCCGGTGTTCTTCTAACCCATGGTTCACCATCTCTGTCAACTGTACTATCATTTACTTCATGGTTTAGGTAAAAAAAATCTAGAGTCATTTCTGATCTCTTTCTTTCATATCACAATATCAATCTATCAGCAAATCATATCAGCTCTGCCTTCACAATAGGTCCAGAATTCAAATCCTTCTCAGCATCTCCGTTTCCTAGTCTAAGCCCTATCATGTCTTCCTGGATTAATGTTTTATCCTACAATGGATTTTTTGTTCCCATTCTAATCTTTCTTCCTGAGATTCCTCTTTACTCAGTAGCCAAAGGAATCCTTTTAAAAAGAAAATTTAGCTTCTATCATTTCCTTTCTCAGATCTAACCACCATTTCCCATATTTAGAATAAAATCTCAAGATCTTGCCATGATCTGACCCCTGCTTCTCTCTCCAATTTCATTTACAATCCCACTTTCTCTTGTTCATTCTGCTTTATCCACAAGACTCTTTGCCCCTCCTCGTGTATATAAGCAAGCTCTGCTTCCAGAGCCTGCCCTTGCTTTCTCTTCAGAGTCTGAAACGCCCTTCTCCATGTCAATAACTCACTGTCTCACTTTAATCAGGTCTCTGAGCACTTATCACCTCTTCTGAGAGACTTGCCTTGACCACTCTGTCTAAAATAGCATCCCTTTCACACCTTATTTAAGTTGCTTTATGGTCTTCGTACTTACCTCTGACTTCTCCACTAGAATGCAGACCAAGTGAAGGCAGATTTGCTGACTTCCTCACAGCTATGTGTACCTAGAACAGTCCTTGGATGATTGATGAGCTTGATAAATAAATATTTGTTGCATGAATGAATGAGTGAATATTTACAGCTCTATGTCAAATTTCTGGTTCAGATGTTCAGGGATGTCCTCAGTTAGAAAAAAACAATATATGACCAAATTCTGCTTTAAGTTATTTTAGGGTTCCAACAGTCACCCAGAGACTGAACAGACTCCAAAGATTTAGCTTCATATAAGAAGCTTCAGTACCCATTGTGATACCATTTGCTAATTTGGAGACTGTGAGGCTGAAAGTACAAGCCCCACACTCAGTCAGCATCCAGGTCCAATAGCTCTCAAATGAACCATATATCAAAGCAAATTTTCTGCAATGCAGAAAAGAACATCCATGCATTTTAAAAATAAATTTTAAATTTTAAATAATTTTAAAAGTAGTTTCATCTCTTATAATGTAATGGAAAATATTCAAAATCCTCTTATGCTGATTCATGAAGTATACTGATATAATTAGACAAAATGAGACCATTGAAAGAGGCAGACTCCTTGTTTCATTGCTTTAAGCAAATAATAAAAATGGACTCATGCAAGTCACACCACTAATTTAAAAACATATGTAAAAGGATAGTAAATAAATGAAATAAAAATATTTGCTTTAGTTTTTTTAAACAAAGATTTATTAACTCTGAATTTTTTAGGTTAAGGACCATGCAATATATATCTCCTACACCGAAGTGTCCAAGAAATGTTTTTGAAATAAATTAATGAACTGCTTTAGAATGTCGCTCAGAAATTAAGCTAGAAATTCAGAGCAATATTCTTAGGGCTTGATTTACACCAAATCCAAATTTGCAATATATTAACATTGAAGGAATAGGCCATCGCTTTCTGAAAACCTTCCTTTTATAAAAGAAATACTTTAATATTATGAATCCTCTTGGTGCATGTAAAATATTATTTGCATTATAAAAATTGATTTTTTGGTACAATTGTTCATAGACAATATTTTCACCAGGATGTGTTCACAAGTGTTAATGGAAGGCAAATTATGTGTGGGACACTCTTCTAGGGAATATGTGAGGGGTTTTTAAGATGGATAACATTTTGTACCTGCTTTTGAGTTGCAAATGATCTGGACTCTTGTCTAAACACTGCAGACAAGATCAGGTGAAGAACATTACTAGAAGTTCAGTGAAGAAATAAAGTCACGTACTCATGGAGTGAAATTTGAATTCCTTAAATTCCCTAAAATTATTTTATGTTGGGTTTTATACCAGGATAGGAATGGCTTTAAAAGAAAGAAATATTTGACATAAGGTAGAAAATTTCAAAGGAGTGTTTGACTTGTTGATGGATGTGTCATCACATTTCATGTGTCTGAGAAATATAAATTTCTACAGCACATTTTTAGTGCCTTAAACAGACTACAATGATCTAAATGGTTGAGCAGTTGAAATTTAGTCTGGAACTGGGACAGATGACTTGCCACATAGAGTGGTTCCCAACATAAAGTGATCTGTGATGGTGGGACTTTCAGTGTGTTTCACTATTAGCATATGTCATCCAAGTATGCCTTTCAACATCCGTGGAGAAAAGATATGTTACAAATACGAAACATCACCGTGATGAATTGGCAATGTCAAAAACCTCTGCCTTGGCTGTGACCCAGTGTTGTTATTGGCAAGCAGATTCATCCTTCTAGGTTGGTTGCTCCATAAGAAATCTTCAAGAAAAGCGAGTCCAAGACCCTTTTTTCTTCTTACTGTGAACTTGGTCAAAAATACCAAATGTTCAGAAACCATTTATGGTATCAGGAATGCACCAATAACTCCTTCTGACTCTTTATAAGCAATAATCTTGTGGAATGCAATTTCCCTTCTTATTACTGTGGGTATTTTTAGGTACCTATGCTGGACTTCTTTAAAAGAGAGTAAGGATTTGTGATTTAAACTGGGATAGATGCTGTTGCAGAGATAACAAAAGGCTGTTGCTTTCTCTCTTCCAACAGGATCTAGGTAAAAGGATAAATGTGATAACTCAAAATAATGTGTATGTTTATCTTCCAGGCTTTCTAATAGCTAATTGGTCAAATAAAATATTATTTACAGAATAGAAGGGCCACTCTTCAACATTGTTCAGACACTGCAAAGCAAACTAATGCAAGTGCAGTGACCTCTTCATCCAACCACAAAATAATATATATTTTTAATTCTCCAGGGAGTTTGAGATAGTAAAGTTGGATATCATGTAGATAAACAAAGGCTTTTGCCTTTTCTCTTGGAAAATAGTTAAAATGAATAGGAATCTGATAATCTAGGAAATTTAACCCTGCTCTACTTACCTAATGCCCCCCAAAAGATGATCTTTTTTTTCTTCATTGATTTTATACCTTAAAAAGAAATTACTGAATTGCGGATATCCAACTAGTATCTGCAGACAGAAATGAAGGTCATTTTTAGAAGAAACCAGTGTCAAATGAAAACGCAGATTTCTACATGGTCACATTCATATCACACACTCTTGACCCAAGGTGAGTAAGTAGGTCATTCCTTATTTCTTATTTATTCCCTGGCACAATCAGACCACACTACAAGTTTCTTTTACCAGTTGCCAAAATGAAAACATGAGACCCTTCAGAGCTACTGTCGGTACATGCAACTCAAGACAACGAGCAGCATCACAACCATTGTCAACAGGAAACTCCAACAATGTCGGGGTTTGGATTTGGTTTTATGTTGAGAGAAGCAGGTTTTCTCTGATTTTAATAATCCATAAGAAACAGAAATCACAATAGATAGACTCCATATTACCTAAAAAGAGCCAAAAGAAGCAAAAGTTCTCCCCCAATTCATCCTCTTGTTCCACAGACATTTTGAAAATAAAGGAAGAGAAAATAGAAAGGAAAGGGTGTGAGAAAGAACACAGAAATGACTTGAATGATTTTAAATCCTTATTAAGCATCACTGAGGTTGCATTTTACCCATTAGGCTGACTGAATTTAGTCCTCATCGCTCAGACCTTGCAAAGAAACTGAACGTACATGGTTTTGCCTTCCAGGGTTGATCTAGAATTGTAAGGGTGCATGTGAATGTGGGTATGCATGTGTGTGTGCTTCAAGTCCATTTTATAAACACTGACACAGGACAATTCTCATCATTGGTAATAGTCTTTGGAGTCCAATCATGCAGAAAAACAGGCAGGTGCAAGTTAGGTCTCATTGCAAGATGGACATGGCAAGGTGAACAGATACTCCTAGATAAGGATTGGGAGATTTGTGTCCATTAGAATATACTGGCCATTGGTCCCACATAAATAAAGTTACATATACAAGATTCTATATATAAACAGAGGCCCCTTACTTCAGTTTGGCTGACCAAAGAAACAGGTCAAAGTGAACCATTTTCAGATAGTTAAAGGACTCAGTGCCAAAAGAAATAACAAAATCTTATCCTCTAATCACAAAGAAAATAGCTAAAATAACTATTTACATTGTAACTTTTTTGTTGTTTTTACAGACAGGAGTTTCCTTGCTTGGTTTAATGATATCTATGGAAAACGTTGAACTCTTATAATAAAAATGTGTGTGGGGGATTGTGAGTGGGAGGTCAGGTTCTTGTTTGGATGCAAAGTGGCTGGGATCAAAAAGTTCTAAAGCAGTTTTACTCCTCTTTCTGAGCTGTAGAAGATATATTTTTCAGCAAAGCTGGCGAATAACACACCTTACAGAGCATAATGCACTTAAGATGTGGCTGTTCATATGTTAAGAGATTCAAATCGAAATAGATTTTGTATAATTTAGGTTTTGCAATGAATATTGAAAAATTTTTTAAAAAATCAGGTTTTCTTATTTTTTTCCTTGACAGGACATAAAAGGTTTTATGTATTTTTATCTATTTTTTACTAGTTCCATTTGCTAAGGCCAACTTTTGGTTTTACCAGTCAGCTACTATCAGTGTCTTTACCTAATATTTTTCTGATAACAGATTGAAAAAACTATCGAGCTTCTTGGCCCTGAATTAAATAGCTTACTCCAGTTGGTGGGAATTGGCCAGTCTCTGGCCCAACTGTGGGGTACATTCCTACAAAACCCAGTCATCAGATTCTTGAAGATGAAAGATTATTATCAGTTTTTATTCCACAAGAAGAAATTCCGGTGTAAAGCTAGAGTATTCCTATTTAAAATTGAACACGCTGACCCATAAAACACATATAAAAATAGTAAAGACATATTAATAGTAAAGTGGTGGTGGTTTTGCCAAACTCTTGCAGCAGCTTAATTCTCCCTGCGCATGAATACACAGCCATCCTTCCTACAAAACACTGCAAAAGATTTTATCAACAATCACTGCCAGCCAACTGCCCTAAAGAAGTGACGGAAGGTTAGGCTCCTCAGAGTGCCAACTTCATGTTCCAAAATGAGCCCCAACCCCGGGTAGGACCTTCACTTTTTTCAGGAATATTGTCCAGGTGACTTGACACTTGCCTACCTGAAAAGTTGGGATGTTCTTGGGAAATAACAGGTGACTAAGAAATATTTGGGGTGTGTGTGTGTGTGTGTGTGTGTGTGTGTGTGTTAACAAGACAGATAAGTGAATGCAGAACATACTATATTCTGTGAATGTGATAATATCATCACCTCCTAGAGATATTATAGGAAAGCAGACCTAGTGGGAAAAGGATGGGGGCTTTTACAGTGGTGATTCTCTTTGTTGTTTCATCGTCTACCTTGATTTAATCACCTAATAAAATTGATCTTGCAAAAATACTGGGGGCCAAATCCTTACCTCTATTTGTAAATGATACTTATATTCGAGGAATTTGTTCCATTTTTCTCTTATCCATAAGGGAAATCTGGCTAAAGCTAATCAGCTCCCAAGAGCCATGCACAGAAGACCTAAGACTAACTGAGCTTTTGGAAGGTACTAACAGCGGGGAAGGGGCCCTGTCTAGTTCTTGCCTGGTTTAATCTGAGGGGGAAATTCACCATTTCTGCAGATGCGAGAGATAGCCTGTCAAGCACTTTGAAGATGCTGGCTGGAGACTTCCTTCTGTGTTGTGATGTCATCTTGGGGCTGACGAAATTCCCCTTGAGACTCTCTTTAAAGCAGCTTCCTGCTCTCTGCACTTAATCCCACGTGGCATAAGGCAAAGGAGGGGGGAGGCCACAGATATATCAAGAGAAAAGTACAGAGAAAGAAAATGAGTAAAGAATTAGAGATACAGAGAGGAGAAGTGTTTTGGTCTTTTTGTTTGTTTGTTTGTTTGTTTTTGGAAAAAAAAACAGAATAGGACTGAAAGAAAAGAGAGGGAGCTCATGTGACTGAGGAGGCATTTTTAACAATCAGGTTTTCTGCAATATTAACCCAAAAATGGTAGCAAAATAGAGAAAATGGGCCATTTTTATTCCAGGGGGCAAGCTGCACAAAGGAATGTTCTTCTCTTTTATTCTGAGCAAATGATCGCATGTACTGAATCTGTGTGAAACAATCTCAGAATGGCAGCACCACTGGCATGGCGATGGTGCAGGTGGGTGCAGTTCCCTGTGGACTCTATTGCTTGAAGAGAGAAAGAAAGTTCCCTATTATTATATTTAAGGCAGTTTTCAGAGCACTGGCATTCTTGTTTGCTCTGTTTTGGGGGTATTCTATTTACCAGTCAGTTCACACTCATCAACCATCCACTTCCTGTCTTCCACTTCTTCAGGTGAAATATCACCACTTTGGTGAGCACCAACATGGTCAGAGTGCAAATAACTGTGATGGATACTTCGAAGTGAATAAGAAGGGAAGCCTGAACCAATTATTGCTGAGATCACCTTGGTATTGCATTGTATATAACCAAGATGTTTCACAGTGCCTCCTTAAGTGCTCAGGAAAGCACTTTCATTTAATTTAAGCTAAATTCAGGAGATTTTGCTAAACATTGACATTAATGCTTCATGGCTTTTAAGACAAACTCATATTGCTAGAACTATTTGGCAGCAGTAAATTTATGGGCAGAGTTATTGCTCTTACATCTACTGCAGTACAAAACTCAGATGATCAGCCCTTCTTCGATTGCTCATACTTATGAAAATAAATAAATAAACATGAAACATTAGCCACATTAAAGAGTTGGGGAAACTCCTGAGGAATAACAATGTCTCTGGAGATGTTTTAAAATGCTAACCTGAGACTCACACTGTGCTTTGGGGATTTTATTCTTACTGATTTTTTTTTTTTTAATTTCAGAAGAGGAAAGTGATATTATTTCTCAAAACAAAACTTTGGTAGAGTATGAACCAGGGAAGCAGCCCACACATGGAAAACACAATCCACAACCTGAAAGTAGTGTAGGCAGGCTCATTTTTTTTGTTGAAGGAATTCACACGGAGGCAATTCTGCTCAGTTCCAGAGAGAGATTCTTATCATCAAAAGCACACACAATAACCTTGCTTCACCACCTGCCACTTTCTCCAGTGGCCTCTTGTTGTGACCAGTAATTGAGAAATGACAAATAGGAATAGCGCCAAATCTCTAAAATAGGGACACCAGTGTCTCTTAGTATCTGGGTAATAACCTCCTTTTAGTCTTAGTCCACAACGCACACTACTCTCCAGTCTCTCCTACTCTTCACTGTCACAGAAAAGTCTCTCAGCTTTTATTCACACCTGCCTCCTAAAGGCCAAACCATTTCGTGCCTGAAAACTACTACCCACTCCCCCCACACTTTACATAAGTATCACATATGTTCTTTCTACAAATTGGTATACAGGTGCCATTTAATCCAGTCAAATTTGGAAGCTACATCTTCAAGGGTCTGAGAGATCTCGCTCCCCCCAATTATTCCCCCTTTACATGTTTTCTTATAAGACATACAGTTTAATTAATTAACAAACTAAACAGCTTATATACTGGCAATATATTACAGATGGGTTTATGTCAGAGTAATAGATCACATGAAATGGACCATGTGGTACCCCAGTGCATGATGTCTTGGTAGAGCCCTGAGGACACTGACAGTAGCATCTCTAAGTAAGTAGTGCTGTATGAATACAGACACATGCGGATCTGTATCTACATCCATCTGACTAGGCCAAGGAGCAGGTAGATGCAAGATAGAGACACACACATGCTGGATGGGGCCACTGCACACCTTGTCATGCCATTTAAAAGGGCAGTTACAGGTTGCTGGTTTTGCAGCCATTAAAATTACACTTTATGGAAAAGGCTTCTCTAATTGTGTCTGATTTGCTTTCTGTAGTAAGCATCATTGGAAGAAGACCAAAGCAAGAGCAACTAGAAGTTAAATATACATTTGAGCTCAGCTGCAATACAGAACTCTGGGGAAGAAGCAGGCTGAAAGATTGATTTAATTTTAGGCTTGGATTCCCTCCCTTGCTGCTTTCTTGATGTTGTGTGTCTGCATTTGTGAGTGTGCATGAGTGTCTGTGTATGTGTGTGTGTTCCATCACATCATCTCCTGAAGAACGCTGGGTTTCGCAGGCAGGCGGCTAGTCACCTGCAACAACCCAGGGGTCCTGCCGAAGCTTCCAGGCTGCTGTCAGTGTCAGATGCCAGGGTCTGGTCGGTGGACATGGAGGAGATGTCATTGACAGACGAGGATGGAGGGAGACTCTCACTGCTGTTCACTGCTGCACCTGTGCTAAGAAAATGAAGACCAACATGACTCAATCTAGAACCAGACTCATGTCAATGCCATTCAGGATTCAGAGATGGGCAAATACAACAGGGGATGTCCAGTCCATCAATCACTTGGCAAGCCTTTATAGAGCAGCTGACACAGGGGAGCATATTAAATGGTGACAATCAAGACATAGCAATAAAAAGTCCCTCATCACAAGTTAGTCACAGGCTAGTGCAGTAGTTATCAAACCTCACTCTACATTTGAAATCACCTGCAACACTTTCTATAAAAAAAAAACACTAATATCTGGTCACACTGCCTCCCCTGCTCCCACTGCACTGCATATATTTTAATATAATTGGCCTTGGGTGAGGCCAAGGCATTTGCTTCTTTTTTTTTTTTGAGACGGAATCTCGCTCTGTCCCACAGGCTGGAATGCAGTGGCACGATCTCGGCTCACTGCAACCTCCGCCTCCTGGGTTCAAGCAATTCTCCTGCCTCAGCCTCCCGAGTAGCTAGGACTACAGGCACACGCCACCATGCCCAGCTAATTTTGGTACTTTTAGTAGACACGGGGTTTCACCATGTTGGCCAGAATGGTCTCGATCTCTTGACCTCGTGATCCGCCCACCTTGGCCTCCGAAAGTGCTGGGATTACAGGTGTGAGCCACTGTACCTGGCCGACATTTGCATTTTAAAAAATCTCCTCAGAGACTGTATTCAGTCAAGCATTGAAAACCTCTGGCTTATGGAGGAAACAAATAAACAAAACCCCTTAATAGAGTCATCTGAGCCTGGTTATTTTTAATGCAGGGAGCTTTTAAAACAAACGCATGCAAGTGTCCTATCCGAGAAATAGGAGCTGAAGTGAAGTTCAGAAATCTGAATTACTTAGGGACCACATCTCTAGAGAAAGGAAGGTGTATAAAGTAAATACTATTATGTCATCATTAATGACATCAAACTTAAAATGCATATAGAAAAGCCAGTAGGACATAAGTAGGACTGTTGATGAAAGTTACAAAAAAATAGGAGAAGGCTTAGCACCTTTTGCTTATGAGCTTACTCTCCAGCAGGCTTGCTTACTTGGAATCTCCAAATAAGAACTCTGAATTACTAACTTAGATTAACTTGAAAAAAACTATTTATGTGTTATGCGGGACTATAAGGTTGAAACTCTGAGAAGAAACTTGCCCATGGTAATCACTCAGTAAAGGAGAGCTGAGTTGCCAGTAGCTTTGAGATCAACAGAAGAAAGATGAGCCAAAGGCATTGTGCAATATAATTAAACCAGAGCGCCCTGGAAACAATCCATTTACTTTTTTTCCTTGTATATTTTTTATACACCTAAGCAATGTGAGTGGTAACATACTTGCTTTGTGAAATAGCTCGCTATTAAAAATCTGTAGTATAATCCCCTAATCAAATAAGAGATGAAGAATTCTCACCAAAATTATATCTGATTTGAGCAAATATAGCGTGCAAGATCTATCTGGTGAAAAATAATAAATCCAAAGTCAGTTATAATAGTGTTATCACATAGACCTAATAAATCAGACAGACAAAATAAAACTAAGTGAAGGTAGGGGAGGGGTTAACATAATCTTCTTTGTTCCTGGAGTAGACATTTCTTGCCTGTGAGAAAAGTGTGACGAAAATGTGTCAGTTATCTAGACAGGACACAAACACCTAAACTAAGACAGATCACCTGTATCATCCATGTATTTTAACATTGTATTTGTTGACTGTAAATATACTGATGTACTCTATGGGAAATGTGAAAAAAAATATAGGAAATAAAGATAATGATATGCACCAATCTTCAAATAAATGGTAAGAACTGTTAAACTTTTCATATATTTCTTCGTGGTCATTCTTTTTGCCTGGAAGTTTCTCTGGTCGTGATCCTTTAATATGTATTTTTTTGGGATCCTGATATTTTTATATACAGAAAAGTTTATGAATTTTTCATGTTCTTTAAACTCCTAAAAATACCTGTCCTTTCTGATCTTATATGTCTCTAGAAAAGGTTTTTAAAGTCCTCTTGTTATTGTCTTTCTGTAAATAATTACTCTCACTATCAGGACAATGTATAATGTAAAGTTAAAATATTCCATAATATTCCAACTTTGAATGGCTTCAATTTATTCCAACTCTACTTAATTATATCCCCTATAGCTATGATACAGAGCTGGGTCATTTCCCCTCACGACAAGATTTTATCTCCTAGCAGACAGCCCTTGGTTCCCTTACATTGCCCAAATGCCATGCTCTGCTTTTCCCCCCCTGATTCTGGATTACATTATACCAACAGCCTTCCTATTCTTTCATAAATTGCTAATAATTTAGTGTCACTATGATGGACTCCTCAGAATTCTCCTCCATTTATCCACATCCTTATTAAAAGGTAGAGATTAAAACTGGACACAGATCTCTATTATAAAGGCCTGATCAATTGTGAGCCCAGCAGAGGGAAATTTTTTTTTTTTTTTTTTTACTATTTGTCTCCTGGGTGATATATCCCTAGACCATGGATGTCTTTCAAATCACGGTGCTACAGCTTAATTTAGTTTTGACTTGAGGTATAAAATGATGTTCATATATTTTTTGTAACAGTCTTATTAAGATATAATCCACATATATAATTAAGAAATTTAATTTTTATGATTCAGTGTTTAGTATATTCACGACATTGTGCAGCCATCACCACAATCCATTTTGCAGCATTTCATCATCCCTGAAGAAAACCCTGCACTCCATTCCTCATCTACCCTCTAGCTCTAGGCAATGACTAATATACTTTTTGCCTCTATAAAATAGCCTGTTCTGAACATTTCATGTAAATGGAAACATACCATATGTGATCATTTATGACTGGCCACTTTCATATAGCAGAATGTTTTTAAGGTTTATCCATGCTGTGACATGTACCTGTATTTCATATCTTTGTATGGCTGCATAATATTCCATTGTATGGATACATCACATTTTGTTTATTTATTAGTTGATAGGCATTTGATGGATATTTAGGTTGGTTCAACTTTTGGCTATTATCAATAATGCTGTTATGAACATTAATGAATGAGTTTTGTATGGACATGTGATCATTTCTCTTGGGCATATACCTATAAGTGGAATTGCTGGGGCATAGAGTAATTCTAGGTTTAACACTTGAGGAACTGAGAAACTGTTTTCTAAAGTAGGTGCACCATTTTACATTACTACCAGCGGTGTATGAGGATTCCAATTTCTCTACATTCTCACCGATACTTATTATCTGTCTTTTTATCTATCTAGCCATCCTAGTGTGCAATTGTGGTTTGATTTGCATTTGCCTGATGGCTAATGATGTTGAGTATATTTTTCATGTGCTTGTCAGCCATTAGTATATCTTCTTTGGAGAAAGTTCACTCAGCTCCTTTGGCCATTTTTTAATTGCTTTATTTTCTTTTTATTATGGAGTTGTAAGCTCCTTCCTTCCTTCTTTCTTTTTTTAAAAATTATTATTTTTTTTTTTAAAGACAGGGTCTTACTCAGTCACCCAGCCTTCAGCACAGTGGCATGGTCATGGTTCACTGTATCCTCTAACTCCAGGGCTCAGGTAATTCTCCTGCCTCAGCTTCCCAAGTAGCTAGCACTACAGGCACATACCACCACACCTGGATAATTTTTTTAAAAAGGTTTTTTTTGTAAAGACAGGAGCTTGCCATGTTGCCCAGGCTGGTCTCAAGCTCCTGGCCTCAAGTGATCTTCTGATTTCTGTCTCCCAAAATGCTGAGTCTACAGGCATGAGCCACCATGACAGGCCTGTAAGAGCTCTTTATATAATCTGGGTACAAGTTACTTAATCAGATATATACTCTCAAATGTTTTTCCTCTATGCTATGGTTTGTCTTTCCATTTTCTTGAAAGTGTCTTTTGAAGCACAAATGTTTTTAATTTTTATGAAATTGGATTTATCTATCTTTTCTTTTATCACTTGTGTTTTCGTGTCATATCTAGAAAATCATTTTCTAATCCAAGATTATAAAAATTTACTCCTGTGTTTTTGCCTAAGAATTTTATAATTTTAGACCTTATACTTAAGCCTATGATTCATTTTTAGCTCATTTTTGTATATGATATGAGGCAGGGGTCTACCTTCATTCTTTTGCATGAATCATTCTTACCCAATCATCCCAGCACCATTTATTGAAAAGGCTAGTCTCTGTCCATGTCTTGCCATCCTTTTCAAAAATCAATGTAGGTATTTATTCCTGGACTCTCAATTTGATTCCCTTGATCTATTTGTGTATCTTCATGCAAGTAGCACTCTGTCTTGGATATTGTAGCTTTGTAGTAAGTTTTGAAATCAGAACATGTAAATCTCCCAGCTGTGTTGTTTTTCAAGGTTATTTTGGATATTCTGCATCCTTTGCATTTCCACATAAATTTTAAGATGGGCTTGTCAATTTCTGCAAGAAAGACAGCTATGATTTTCATAGGTATTGGCTTAATCTGTACATCAATTTGGGGAGCATCTGTCATCACCTTGACAATATTAAATCTTCTAATCCATGAACAATGAAATGTCTTTCCAGTTATTAGGTCTCTTTAATTTCTTTCAACAATGTTTTGTAGTTTTCAGAGTACAAAGCTTGCACTTCTTTTGCTAAATTTATTCCTAAATATATATTTCTTGATGCTATTCTCGAAATGTTTTATGTTCATTGCTAATGTGTAGAAATACAATTATACTTAGGGTTTATTTGAATAAGAAGTTTCAGTGTCAGGGGATTGGATATTAAAAACAGATCAAATGAAGATATCTATCTATCTATCTATCTATCTATATATATAAAATGAATGTTGTAATTAACCAGAATGCCAGTAGAACCAGGAGGATTTTTGATAGCATGCTTTATTTATGAGAAAATAACCAGCTTGAAAGTTTTAAAATAAAATTGTGGCATAATACAAACCAAAAAGTATTTTTAAGTATCTTTAATAATAATCTTGGTCTTCTCTTGAGAT